GTAGGTGACTTTGATTTCCAAGTTGCCAACCCACAACAGTGCTAATGGGTAGTCCTTGTCTCATGGGATTGCTTGTTGGAAGAAAAAAGACCTACCAGCTCATCCTGCCATTTTTATACCCACTGAAAACGAAACAAGAAAAAAGCTTCTGTGCAACCAGACTATACACAAGGACTTACAGATTAGCCCCAACTTTATCTGGGCTGGACTGAAGAGGGTCATGGCTATTTAACCACAATCACTGAACTAATTCTACTAGTTACAGGTTTCTGTCAGGCTGAACTCCAAAGAACTACCAGTACACAAGGCCTTTGCCAAGCCTAACCATTCCATGGCTAAATTTGCTAAAGACCAAGGCTTGAGTTGAATGCCTCAGTGGTCTCAAATGACCACCAACTGGTAGACTAGATACTTGTAGTCTGACTCCCTGCATTTGGATCTCTGGGCTTCTGTGGTATTTGGGTGCTGTCTCATTGGAAACACCCCCACCAGCAATTCCCTGCAGTAATTCTGTGTTTTGTAAGAAAACTTACCTGTTGCCAAGTAGGCAAAGATGAACCTTGCCCCGTTGGAAGCCAGCCAGTTAGTTTTAGTGAGCCCAATTTGCCTATGAATAGAACATGGACTAACAGGAATGCCAGCACGTAAGTACCGTACTTGGAATAAAAGAGTTTTAAAGGCATAGGAAAGGGGAGGAGGTACAGTACCCTAATTGTCATACAGTGCATGATAGATGCCCAGAGGGGTTGAAGAAGTCAGTCAGATCCTGAGTTTCTTTTTTTTTTTTAAATCGGATTGCACAAAATGAGGCAGAATCCTTCAAAGTTGTATTATTAAGCATGTTTCAAACTCTGAATGCACATGTAGTTAATTGAAATTTGTTGAAATATGCTGGAGTTTTTAGCCTAGGCGATTTCCAGTTTAATTTTCCCTCTCTTATGACTTCAGGAATTTAGACTACATGCAGCCATGGCTAGCAAATTACCACTGTATGGGAAGTGGTTGCTCCTACAGAAATTCCATTTTGTGTGATTTCAAGTCGTTCGTGTAACCAATGTCAGATGTGGCCTCCGTTTTTCACAATAATTGCTTTTAGAAAGCGAAAACGAGAAAAAAAATCACTTGCGGGTTTTTATAATCACAGATAGATTGGCTTTGTCAGGCCTGACCCACCTGGACCTTCAAAAATTCCCGGGCCAGTGGAGGATCATAGGATGGCAGATTCAGGCCAGTGTCACTTTATGTGTTGTCTCTGCACATTCTCTTTGCTGTGGTCTATGCACTTTGGGCTCCATCGTTTTGTTAAATGGGGGGGGGTTGAACCCTGCAAGGCTGATCTCTGACCCTTAGTTGATGCTGCGTAGCTGAACTCTTGCCCTGTTGCCCAAGAAATCCCAGCCTGCCAGGGATCAGTGGCATGTTGGTATGCTGGCTGAATGTTGCCTAATGAGAATCGGTTGCTGTGGCAACGAGTACACAACATCTTTGTTTTGACACATGTTGCTGCGACTGCACATTTTCAGAACACATAATGGTCAAGTAGTTGACAGTAAATTCCAGATCTTCTTGTGCACAGATAAACCTGTTTACACCAGAGGAATACAATGTAGGTGCTTGTCTTCTCCTTAACAGATGCCATCATTTCATCTATGCGGAAAACTTGTTTGGAGGGTTGTAAAAATGACTGCGATGTCACACCGGGTGTGTGCACGTCGTCTTTAAATGTGCCTTTCATATCCCCCATACCATAAAGGTTCACCCTAAAACAAGAACATTTCTGCAACCTCTTTTAACCAACTTTATCAAATGTTTTCCTGTTGATCTTGCAAAGTGCCGAAAGCCACATCTGTTGTCTTTTTTTACCTATTGGAACAACATACACATATACCGGTACATGTACGTGTTGATGTATACGTATATGTAGGTGCTGATTGCTGTGATGTGCAGGCCCAGGTTGCTGCTTTGCTGTCAGTGGATTCTTTGGACTAAACAGAATTCACAGAAGAAAATTGAAAGCAAGAAAGAAGATACTGGTAGCCATGTTCTAATACTGATGTTGCTGGTTCAAGCAGGAACTATATGCATACAAAGCAGTAAACAAGGAAGTGCTGCAGTGAACCACGATGGACATTTTCTAAACATCAGTGGGTGATTAAGTGTGAATTACTTCTAAAATAACCTAAGCATGAGTTAGCTGACAGCCACACATTGCCTGGTTCCCGTCCCTCCAGCTCAGCTGTGTGTGATAGGAGTCTTCTGCATCTGTTTGATGGCCAGACTTTGTACATGCACAGGTCTCAGAGCATGCCCAGAGTGGTTTTAAAAGAACCTATGTGCCAGCTGTCATTTTTGTTCCCTGCTATAGAGTCTTTCACAAACAGGAATCCTTTCAGTGGGATGGGAGAAAAGTTAAGATACATGTGAATGTGTGTATCTAACATGCAGGTTTAAAGGGGAGAAGATCAACCATACTCTGTATTCTAAATATAGCATGAAGAGTAATGCTTCGCAACAAAACTAGGCGTTGTAAGTCCAAGCAATATGACTGCTACCCATACATTGTATTGATGCAGTTTTTCCTCAATTCAATCCTTTTTTCTTCTATTTACACAATGTCAATATTGCATATCCGGTTTGAAATTTGAAAACAGTTATTTGAAGTATGGCTCTGGTGGGGATCCCAAACTCGCGTTTATAAATATCCTTTCTGGGTAATTTTTTCCCCTGCTGAGTCTTTGTGTTTGGAGGATTTTGTCCGGGATGGAATCCCACCCCTGTGGACTGCATTTTCCAGTGATTGTGTCAGTGTGTATGCACACAGGTAGAGTTGAACTCTCCCAACCTGTAAAAGCTGCAGCCCTCCGAAACAGTTGTGAATTGCTGTTTAAGTAATCAGTTTGTTTGGAGGACTAGGAATCTGCACGTCATTTCCCACAATGGTCATGCCATCCTGTTTGCAATTGTACATGATTTCCATTTGTGGAGTTCTTCACAGCAGATATTGGCATGACTCTAAGGATCACCACATGCTGTTCTTGTTGCTGGGATTGCACTTCACAAACAGGAAGATCATAACAAAATATCCAGGATCAAGAAGTACATGTGAATGTTGTAACCTGCTGCACCCCACCCCTGAATCTGTTACTGGTGGTGTTTGAACATTTACTGGTGCTACTCAGTGCAAGAAAAGTAACAGGATTGGAAAGCTCTGGAAATATGGGTGAGTCAGGCTGGAACCGAATATAGTTTTGGAAATGGACAACTACTTCAGTTCTGCACGGACTTTTTACTGATCTTTATGGGATGCACGGTGCCATGACATTGTTGGGAAAAAAACACGGGATTCGATCTGAGCGTCCTGTGTGGAATCCTAATGGAAAAAAATTGAGTCAGGACCTGGAACTTGGATACTCCTCATGGAACTCCTCCAGCTCCGAAACCATGTGCAGTAGCAAGTATTCATTGATTCTCGACGTCGAGAAGAGGAAGCTCCAAGACTTCATGAGAATGAGATTTCTAGACTGGCTTCAGTCCAAGAAGGAAAGTGTGGAGCTGCGGGCATATTGCCCACTGCCAAATAGTACGCAGTCGTGTCCTGATGAAGGAGGTTTGTTTCAACAGCGGTGTGTAGGCAAGTTAATGTCTCCCGGTTGCATGAGGCTTTTTTTCCAGTTGTACCCAATGGAATTGATTTCTGTGTAAATTCCTGGGATGAATATGATGAGGTGGAGTTGAAAAAGACAAATTTATTATTTAGCCTCTCTGTCTGCGCATCACTCTTTTATATCTCAAGGCTTTATTGTAAATGAGAGTACGTAAACAACAGTTTACTAAGTTTTTTGTACGTGGGGAAAATTTGCTGGTATAAAAAATAATCGATTTTGAATTTTCGATATATGGGTCATTCCATGAGGTTGGGGCACAATTTGTGACAGTGTCCATTGTTAAAGGGGTTCCGTAAAAATGAACAGTTATTTCCCTGCATGTGGATTCCAAATTGACATCTTGTAAAGCTGAATACAGAGGTGTGTGTTACTTTTACAGAGTAAATGACCAACTCTGCGGATCATGACAGGTGGTAAAAGTTACCCATGTAACAAGGACACCGTCACAAATTGTGCCCCAACCTCATGGAATAACCCTATCAAAAACTAGATATCAACAGACCCTGTAGTACATTTGAGCTTTGTCATTGGTAGGATTGGTAAACAGGTGGTATCTTGGAATAGTCAGGTCAGAGAAAACTGCCTGTGTTTAATTGGTGACCAGGGTTTTCCCTACTGATGTGGAGTTGGTTGTAGGCGGTGATATATTTCCTTGTATTCCTGTCACTCGTATGGATTGGAGCTAAGTCTGAGGTCTCTGGTGTCATACACCAGGCTGATTTCCACTCTCTGGTAATTTGATAATATTTTTGTCACGTAAACCAGCCAGCACTAAACCAGCCAGCACGTTTAGCATAGGCTGATGCAGGTTCTTGGAAATTTGTAGTGCAGAATACAAACACATGCAATTGCACTGTACAGCTGTAAAAGCAATCTTTTGAGTTCAGTTATCAATCACACACAGGCACACACCTGTGAATGAGGCCCTGCTCAATTTACCCTAGAATTGCAGTTCTACTCCTGGGCTGAGAGTTTGCCCGAAGCTTTACCTGAATTTGAGAATCCAACCTTACATGCATGTCAGCACCCCCCCTCCCCTCTGCCACAGGTTGGCGTAATATACCCTTAATGATTTTCCTGCAGTTGGACCAAATTGTTCAGAATTTGTACATTTTTTGAAGCAAAACATGCACATACATGCACCATATGACTCGGCAAGGCTAACCTTGGATGGAGCTCTGTGGTGTAACGACAGTGCAAGACTTTACAGGTTATACACAACATATTTTCATCTGAATGCACACAAAAGCACGCAGCATCTGTTGTGCACATATTGCATGACTGTGAAAGTATTACTTGGCTCATCTCCCTTCTTTTTTTTCCTGTCTTCCTCAGCGGACAAGGGTAAAGAAGAGGTGATTCAGGAGATTACCAGCGAGCTGGTACAAGCTCTGAAGGAATCAGGCACCCGGAACAACAAGTCGGTCAAGACCAGCAGTACCCAAACGGTGAGCAGTTAGAGGACATTGTCTCCTACAGTGTTAAAAGACGGTGGACAAATTTCTTATTTTGAGGCACCTCACTTCCATGAAAAATTCCCTGTAGAATGAAACAAAGTATTTCTTTAAACAAGAGTTTTTTTATATTTAGAAATGTTTACCTCCTAGAAAATTTTTCTCGGGAGTGAGGCAAGAATATTTGGTCTCAAAATAAGATTTTTTCCCGAACATTTTGAGCAGTGCATTGTTTTTGTGTTAATCATCTCTCATAAACTGAGCGTGGGCACCTCCTACAGAGGGAAGAACTGATCCAAGGGCAGATCACAGAAGACAGGAAAAGTCTATTTTTCCCTTTGCATTGCTGTCCTGAGACCTCTGATGTTTAGTGAATCATGCACAACTGTGCTTGAGGTGTTTGTTACTTGTTCTCAGGGCACGTCTCTGTGGGCATTATGACGGAGATGCCTACAGTACAAAAAAGCAGTTTTGCTGTACAGGAACTGGACCTCTGGTGTCATGTGCAAAGAAGTTCTAATCAAAATCTGAGTAAGCTTTGACATCTGTGGCTCCAGGGGATGGACCAAAACTGTGAATCTAGGCCAAATGATATGTACATGTACCTGGGTACAGTTCCACTTCTGGCTTCAATTTAGTAAAGCCTGAAGCATACTCATGTGTTAGAAAAACAAAATCCCACAGTGCTGATACTCTGCAACTCAAATGTAAATTACGGGCCGTTGGTGAAATAGTTCTGTCAAATTCACTTTCCAAAGCTGATGCTTAAAAATTTTTTTTTATAAAGTCTCTGATTATCAAGATATACTGTATGCATGAATTACCAACAAAGCATAAAAAATCCAAAGTAAGCCCCTTTCAGTTTTGCTACAGAAGGTCACAGAGCTCAGAGTTCAACAACTTTGTGTCCTTAAAATTGAGGTCACCTGTTTTTGTTGTGGGTACACTTCTGTACGTTTTTTTACCATCATACATGGCAGACAGATACTTCTGTCTCTGAAGTGCGCCTTGGAAGGTTGGATTTAATCCTGTTTGTCCCAGTCTGGTGTATTGATGGTAATTTCATTCTCTGGTTGAAGGTTTAATGCATGTGCCTAAAGAGCACACGTTTTAAAATAAAGATTAACCTCATTTACATGTATTGTACATGTGAGTACACGCTTAAATGCATTGGTACAGGTACTGTAACAGTGATTTGGACGATGGGTTGCATAGGCAGTGGGGATTTGGATGGAAGAGAAAGAATTGGTTTGCTCTGATCTGTCTGCAAGTCTTTTGTGCTTCGCTAAAAAAAAATGAGGAACATGTAAATTTCTTGTTCCTCATCCAAGCAGAGACAAAGGTTGACACAGTCACCTGCAAATTCCCGAAATGCACTTCATTGTAGGCCAAGCGTACCTCTGGTTTAAAGCTTACTTGTACTGATGCCTAAAAGGAATTAAGCAACTGGTATCTGCCCCCAGAATTCAAGTTACACTGTAGGAGCCTACCCATACGTATGTGATCCACTCTATGAAAATGAGTCTTAAAGTCGCCAGAGCCACTTTGGAGTAACAAGTCCTTAAGAATAATTTTGCACTGTGTAAATCAATAGGAACGCACAGCATTTTTCACCGTGGAGTATCCACTTTCATCAGGATGCCAAATTAAGTGATACATCAAAACAAAAAGCTCAATTTGCTCTTTACAATACAAATGAAAACTCAAAAGTGGCTCTGGCGACTTAAGACTCATTTTCGCAGAGTGGTTCACACATATGTATGTACCGGTAGGTGTACTTGTACAATAGCTGGAGCCTTCCCATGGATTATTTTGGGAGGAGATGCAGCCCAGAGGTCAGATCAAGCTGTGTTGCCCTTGGGTTGATTGCTGCCTGTTGTTGAGCCTTCATTGGTTGTGAAGTCCCTTGGTTCAAAGCCCTGTCATATTTATAGTTGCCTTTGGTGCACAGTGTGAAGGGGAATGTTGGGATCCTGGATTTGAAAGGTGACCCGCTGTGGCATTATGCTTCGACTCATTTGTGCCATTCATGGAATTCTTTTTGTTTCCTTGTGAGGTATTGTTGGATTGAGGCCGATATTCCTATACTGAAGGCTCCTTGAATCAATCAACCATACATGTACAGTGTAGCCTGGAAGGACTGGCTCATAATTTTGATTTTAAAAGTGTCTGTTTGTCTGTCTGTGTATCCATTACCCTCATATCTGTTTTGCTTAGTGTGTTTTGCAGTGCATTGTTACTTCTGATATCATTGTGTGAGATCTCTCCATTGAAATCCACAAAAACTTCTGAATCTGTGAGATCCAGCTAATTCTTTTCAACGTGAACCATGTTGTGCCTTATGCTGTCAAATACAGTACATTTAACAATTGTTGCCCGCAGTGTAGGGGTCCATGGTGTTTTGTACGCCTGAGGGGACAAATGGTGCTTGAGGCAAAGCAACAATTTGTTTTTGTATACCGTGATCATACATGTAGATTATACTGAAATGGTTTAATGTGTAATCTATATGCACTTTACTGCAAGATAAAACCCTAACCCCCAAGGTGTATGTAAAATCATATTGAAATAAGAGAATTTTTGACTGTTAGGGTTAAATTAAATACTCTGACAAATTAAAACATTTCAACAGCAAGTTAGATATTAAATTACTCTGAAAATCATTGATTGTGTTGTCCTTTGTTGACCTCTGTTTTTTGTTTCAGGTTTTTTCAAGGGGGGGAATCTAAGATTTATAACAAAGTGGTTTACTAGAGAAACCTGGGATATATAAAGCATGGGGGGTTTTTTGTCGACTGTATGACTTTCAAGACATTATTTACACCCAAATCTGTTAACAAGTATTAACAAATTTGAAGAGCAGATGAGAAGAGACGATGGCATGAGAATTTTACGGCATGTAAACAGCAGTGGTAATCGCAGCAGAAACAGTGATTAGAGCGTACTCGGGTGAACTCAACGAGCATATTGTAGCTAGGTGCACAAACAAAAGTTTAATAATCCGCAGGTGTCCGTCATGGTCAGAGTGAAGATTGTAGCACGTGCAAACAGACATAGTGCTTCAATGTCCCCTACACAGTGCACATCTCTTACGATTATTGGCGAGAAGTACCACCGCGGCTATCCACCCTCGAACCCAAGATTACACAATTACAATGCAGTAGACACAACGCATTAACTGCTGGAAAGATCACCATTATCCATCATTTTTTGTGGCCCGGCAACATCGCCTGTGCACTCAATGCTTGAATGATACATACGGGCAATTTAGGTTATCACATGATCATTTCGCGACCAATTAAAATGACTGTGGTATAACAAACATCTACCGGTATGTCTGGCTGTTTCATCTACATGTATCTTTTGTTATTGATCATCCAAATGTCAAACTGCAATAAATTCTCTTGTTTTTTCATACCATCTGATCAAGTCAACTTACAGTCACACACATTATACTATGCTTACATGTACAAATCGTATGTCCATAACTGCCTGATTGATTAATGCCGGTTTCCCCTGTTGAGTACCAACAGGTAAGGTCCACACACTTCCAAATTCTTTCCACAAATACCCTGTTCCATCCTGACGGTAAATTCTTGATGGCTGCCGGAGAAATTAGCTAAATTTGCTGTTTGTACATTGTGTAATTTAACACATGAGAAGGAAACAAGGATAATAAAGAAGTAGGTTTGAATTGAAAGCCAAATGAGACTACATGTATTTTGGAAGTGATTTTGTCAAGAATAATGTATATACGGCAAGTGGACCCAAGCCATACAGTGTCAAGACTTCATGTTGAGTGTGGGAGTATACATGTTAGAATGATAAATTTGCCTTTACGTGTGTGTATATGAGTGAATACATGTTATGTGCATTGATTGGTTCAGTACATGTACCGGTACAGTTCAATACATGAACTATTTTCATTTACAGAGTTAACTTTGAACTTTTTTAATGTCTCATATGGTGTCTGCCTTTTCTGACCAAAGTCGACACTGACATCTTGCTGTGCACCATCAGAACTGCATGGCTGCAAACTTAAACCATAAGAAGAGTCTGCTTATCAGCCACTTGAGAGCAGTTACAGGCTAAGAGTCATGAGAATGTGTTGGGAGCGATAATGAAACACTTTGACCGATCAAATTCAAATTTACAGGCAAAGGGATTACTGGTATTTATGGGTTCACCTTGACACCGAGCATGAATGAAGTAAACGAGGTTAGGAACCTGAATCCTGGAAATGATAAGCAAACTTTGTTTGTCCATCCAGAGAATAGTGATGAAGAAAATCGGCAACATATTTTGAGAACTGGAAATGAACCTGGATGTTTTCAGAATTGCTCCAGTCCATGTCTTATCAGCTGTGTAGCTGAACCTTTGAGATAATGAGGAAGCTCATTATTTGTGTGCGATATTTCAAGGGGCATCACAAATCTCAATGTGAAGTAGCTGGGAGGGTATGTGCATCTGCACTTTAACGTATGTGTGTGCTTAATTGAACGGAGCTCAATCTGTAAAGCATGCACCCACAGCCGGTGGTGATGTAGAAATCACTCAAAAATCTAGCCTTTCCAAATATGTGACCAGCCCGTCATTTGGACCATGCAAGACCATTTTTTCTTATGTTACATGCCCTTCCATCTCCTACCCCTGCAGTGCCAGCAGTTACAGTACCAGAGGAACTCAAATGTGTATGTGTCTTCTAATGGAACCTTCAAGCCCCCACATTCTGAAATGATATGATTGTGGCGGGTCTGCGGTCGTGTGTTTGCCGAAGCTTGCGTTTGCCGAAGCTTGCGAAATACCTTCACATCCTGACTTTGTTTGCCCAGCACACAGCTTGAAAGATGCCGCCTGGCTTGGTCGTTGTGACATAATAGTTGTTTGACTGTAGGCAGTAAAAGGCCTGGAGGAGGCTTTGGCCACCTGGACAGAAAGGCAACATTCATCATTTATTGCCCAGTCACACATCATGTACCCCTTCCTCAAGCACTTCTCCCTTGGCAACCACATTTATGAGCTAAATACCGTGACTGTGTTTGCCATTCTTTAAAACTTTTTGTTTTTTCTACAGAGGGTATTTTTGTGTAGTTTTTTAAATTGTGAAGAGACTTGTTGACCATAGACGGATCGTTTAGGGAGATTTATCCCATTGGACATCTGGATCTTTTTGTTGCTCACACTGTAAGAATTCCTCAAATCATTCAAACTGCCTCATTGCTTGACTGAAATACCAACATATTTTGCCCCTTAGTTTAATGATCCTAATCCTTTAAATATGTTGCAGTTCTTCATCTTTAGAATTCCTGTCTCCAATCATGGGCTTTGATTACCTTGGGTAACAATCTAAATCACATCTACTTTGTTCATGGCATGTGCAACTTGGGTGATTGGAGAATACTTCAGATGGTTCAGTTTTTCTTTTCTTTTTTGAGAGTTGGTCTTCCTACTGTTCCCACGTAAATGTGACCACTGTCTCAGCCTGCTTAGTTGATGTTACATGCAAGGCAAACATTGACACGGTGCCGGAGCTTGTCATTTTGGGAAGCTGTTGATCATCTGTTTCCCCCCCCCCATCTGGCCTCTGAGCACACCTCCGTCGTCAACTTTAACTCTTCCGCTTCTGTCCCCAGCTTGCATCGGCTGGTCTTCCTGTTTTTGTGTCCCGATTCCTACCAATGCCATTGAATGCAGGAATCAAATCTCCCCTCCCCCCACCCCACTTGTTGTCTCCTCCCTCCCCCCACACTTGTCAGCTTAGAAATCTTTGCACCTGTCACAGAAGACCACTTATAGAAAACAAACTAATCAATATCCATTGTTCACAGATTGCCTCTGCTATCCGGGCAAAGCACATGGTAACAAGTGAAAATTTAAAAAAAAAATTCAATGAGGAATTGTTGTATGAATTACTGCTCCACTGAAGCAAACACTTTCAATTTGTTTGCTTCACTCAGTGCCTCTTCTTAATTTTTGCGGGTTCTGTGATTGATTTTTTTGGGGGGCAGTCTCAACTGCCACTTGACAAGGTTGACTTGAAGTGCAGTTCCAGTTGGCCAGAGACATGTCGTGTGCTCAAAAGGGAGGAAACATTCCTATCCAGCTGTCCGTTTGAGTTGTCTTTTTTTTTCATGTGTTTAATTAGTGTCCTGCCAGAAATCGGCAAGCTTTCTTTTTTTTTTAGCCAGCATGGATTTTAGGAAATGAACTCTCGAGGAGCAGAGTTTTCCAGTTTCTTCAGAAGATTTGTTTGGATCAAATTCATTTGGATCAAGGGGGAGGGAATCGCACTTAAAAAAGAATTCTTAATATTTGTCTTTTATTTTTTTGAGGTTTTTGTTTTTTAAATGTGTCTGGTCAAGTCGAGGATGTCCTTTCACTTCTGTTGTGTCATTTTGAAGCCTTGTCCACCCCAAGGCTGTACATTCAACTGAAGTGTACATTTTGTTTCGACAACATTTTCGTATGTATCTGTTCTCTTTTGACCGTGGAAGGGATAAAGTGACTCTTTTTGACCAAAAGCTGCATCGTCACTGGTTGGTAAGATCAAGAGGGGGCACGTGTTCCCCTTCCCTGTCTAAAAAAAATATCAGTGGACAAATAATGTACCTTAGAGTAAGTTTAGCCTCTGTTTGACTTGTCTTCCAGTCAGGACGGCCACGTACTTGTCGGTGAGCCAAATTAGGGGAAACATCTCAGCTCACACTGGATCCGACCATCAGAACGTTTGCCAAAACCCACAAGGGACCCGTCCAATTAGAGTCTTCCTTCCCCTTTTCTCATGCACTGCTTTCAGTTTGCCCCTGGTTTGTTCGATCCCCCCCCTTCCCATTTGCAGACTTCAGGAATCGAGCTAAAGCGCACTGCGAGTGCGTTAACCACTCGTCATTGAAATACTTCTCAGAAAATTCGCAGTGCCCAGACATGCTAGACGTGTGTGGCAGTTGTCTAATTTTGTTTTCTTTTGTCGCCGCCCTCCTGTATAGCGCAAATGGTTCCGAAGCCAAGTTCTTCATTAATATGTCTCAGATAAATTGCATGGCCCCCACAAGAGTTGTGATTCATATTCAGTGAAGGACGCCACTCCATCAGAAGGAACATACGCAGTCACACACAAAGAGTTGTAAGTGCCAGATAGAGAGACTGATGGAAGAAATTATTTATAAATACCCCGTCTGTTCCACAGGGATAGTGTTGTCGAGCTAGCGTGTTGGAAGTTGACACAGGAGTTATCGTGAGCCAGTTATTTCTGCATGCCTGATGGATTGAGATAAAAAGTGTCACCGTTTTTTTTTCTGTTGGTCTTTTCTTCTATGCAGAATGAAGTTCGAGTCAAGTTTGAATACCAAGGTGAAAGGAGGTGAGTATTTATGTTTTTGTGTCTATCAATAGTCATCGACCCGTAGTCATTACACCATATACGCAAATTAAATTTTTTTTGTTAAGTGTATACATGAATAGTGATCACTTAGAAATTGCTCTAAATTATCTTAAACATGAATTTTATAGCCACTTCTGACCTACGATCATGTTGTATGGTAGCAAAGGTCAGTTATCTGTAGATTAGCATTAACCTTTAGACAGCATGTTGACAATTTCATGTGACATGTTGGCTATTGTGTTCCTTTTTACTTTTTGCCAAACAGTTGGACCGATCTTCTCTCTTTAAAATTGCAATTCTTGATGGGCAAGTGGTGTATATTCAAGGTCCAGATGTATAAGAACTTGATGTTGTTCAAGGATTTTGGACAATTTCTAAAGACATTCAGAATTGATGTGAATGTGTGTGAGTTGTGAATGTCACATGCATGACAGACATAAACCTGTTGTACTCGTTGATTTAAAGTTTCACCAAAGCATTTGCAAGATCTGGTCTTTTCCTAAGACTAGCTTTTGGGCGTTTTGCCCCAATAATGTACACACATACACCTGGCCAGTAAGCTGTGCAGCAACAGAGGGTGCTATTAAGAAGCTGGACAGATTTAAATTCCAAGTGTAGCTAGCGCAACATGTGAATAGTACGCAGGAAAGACGAGTCATTAGATGGTGCAGAGTGTGTCAGCACTATATTCGAGCGTTATACCATGCAGGTGCTATTTACAGTAATTCATGTGCACATGATGTGTGCACCAAACTTCTCGGATTAGCCAGTCAAATTTCCAAGGCTGGATTTGGGTTAGCTTCAGGACAGTGCTCACAGCTGCTGATAGGATATTCTGCTGGCGTGGGGCGTGTACTTGAACAAGCGTTTGTCCGAATCTAGTCTCGGACCAAGACAAGATTCATATTACCCCCATATGTATATATATATGAAATAGAAAGAAAAAAAAATGTTGTTGCAGGTGCTGGAAACAAAGCAGGCGACAGTAAGGATGTGTTTTGAGACAACACCTTGTTGACCTCTGTGCCAAGCAACAGCAGCAATCTATTATGTCTTACCTCTCTCTCCTTTTGTTTTTCTCTTCCTCTGCCCCCCAGGATATTGCAAGTTCCCCGGCCGCTCAACTACAATGACCTCTTGACTAAAGCCAGGACGGCCTACGGGGTCCCCGTAGACATGCACTACACCACAAATGATGTCAACTCAAATGTGAGTGGAGTCAAAAGTGGAGTACAGACAAATCAAAAACACCAAACAAAAATCCTAACAATAGTAATAACAATTTATAGAGCGCACAGATCCACCAAGGTGCTCAAGACGCTAATACATTACATACATCCTTAAATGCCTGCTTGAAGAGATGAGTTCTCAGATCCTTAATAAAACTGCAGAGAGAAGGGGATGATTGTCACCATGCTGCTAGATTGTTCCAAAGACAAGGTGCAGCACATGAAAAAGAACAATCCCCCATGAATGGAATGACCTAGGTTCTCTAAGAAGATTCATATAACTGAAATGAAGTCTACGCGTGGAATTGTAAGGTTGTAATAAGTCATGAATATATGCTGGAGCAAGACCGTGGAGTGACTTATAGACAAATAAGAGCATCTTCTGAATGATTCTGAACTTAACAGACAACAGGTGCAATTCTTGTAGGATCGATGTAATGTGACATGTCTTTCTTGAGAGAGTAATGATTCGAGCAGCCGAATTCTGTATACGCCGTAGCCGATCAATTAGTGATTGTTGGAGTCCAAATAAAATTGCATTTCCCATATCCAAACGTAAATTATCACTGAATGGACGATTTGTTCTGTTGCATGTAAAGTAAGATATTTTAGTATTTAACTAACGGCATGAATGTGGAACGATGTACGTATAAATTCTTTATACTGGGGAACCCATTCAGTTTATAAAAGCTGTTCTCCCATAGGTCCCAGTTGACAATACTAAATCTTTAGAAATTCTGTTCTGGGACAAGGGAGGCAAAGATTCCCTGCTGCACACTGTCTAGTTCAGTAGGAGTGCTTATCACTGACATAAGAAAACATACTACAAAGGTAAGCCGACGCTATACCACTGAAACATTTATACACCATTATGTTAAGATGACTTTCAC